TTGAACTTGGGTCCTTGCTCTTGCGAGGCAGGCACTGGAACCAGTGAGCTAAATCCCCAGCCCAATAAATATATATTTTAAAATCTATTTTGTTGTTGCTGGAGATTGAAACTATGACCTTACACATTTGTTCTACCACTTAACTATATAACATTCCAGGCCCCAAACATTTATCTTTGATGAAATCTGTTGATCATAAAAATTGTACCCTCAGGGCATGGTGGCACACACCAATAATACCAGCACTCAGGAGACTGAGGCAGGAGCATCACCTGAGTTCAAAGCCAGCCTAGGCTACACAGCAAGACCCCTGTCTCAAAAAAATTTAAAAAGCTCAATTTGAAGTCTCTAATTCCAGCTCTGCTGTGTGATATGTCAAGAAAGTGACTCCATCTCTTTAAGCTTACATTTCCTAGGTCAACCAACATTACACTTCCTTGGTGCAAGACCCTGGCTTGTAAAAGTGAGAGAAACAGACAAGTCCTTTGACTTTTCATTCTAGTAGAAGAAACACATAAGCAAAGAGTGATATTAATCAATAAGTTCTGCTAGGCACAGTGGTGTAGGCCTATAATATCAGCTACTCAGGAGGCTGAAGCTGGAGGATCTCAAGTTTGATGCCAGCCTAGGCAACTTAGTTTGACCCTGTCTCAAAAATCAAAAGTAAAAAGTTCTGGGGCTGTAACTCAGTGTAGAGCACCCCTAGGTTCAATCCCCAGTGCCACAAGAAGAAAAAAAAATTGGTCTATAGAGACTGGGTACGTGGGCTGGGCGTTGGGAGAGTGGGTGCCCCAGGACCGCAGCTGGAGGCCTCGCCCAGCAGCCCATCTCTCCTCTGCTGACTCCAGCGCCCTACGTCTGACCCTCTGTGGGAGCCCTGTCTTCCTGGAAACGCCAGCCCTGGACAGCACCGCCAAGGATGATTAGCGCTGCAAGCTGGCAGCCCCTGCAGCTTTTTCCAGAGATCACTCAGGGTCCCAAGACCAGCCAGCCATGGGGTCTCATTGTGCGGGGGGCTGGAGGAGACCACAAAGCCCTATTTTCACCTTCACTCATTTCCCCACTTCCAGAAATCCCTGAGCCCCAAAGTGGGCACAACCAACCCCCCAGAGAATTTCTTCCATCCAAAAGATTCCTAATAAAGATGAGTGTAGTGGTGCATGCTAGTAATCCTGGCACTCTGGTAGGCTGAGACGGAGGATCCCAAGTTTGAGCCCAGCCTGGGCAATTTAACAACTTACCAAGACTAGGTCTCAAAACATAAAAAAGGGGCAGAGGGTAGTGTCTGGGGATTCAGCTCAGTGTGAAAGCCCTGGGTTCAAGCCTCAGTATAGGAAAAAAAAAAAAAAGATTCCTAATATAATTAATGGCAGTGAATGTAGAAAGATTGGTAAAAATAGCCTGTATTTTTACCTGGTGGTGGTTGCATGCAGGTATAGAGGTAAAAATTCACTGAACTCTTCATTCAAGATTTGTGTGCTGTATGTATGCTATTCCCATTGAAAAATTAAACAGCTCAACATGGTTGATGCATATCTGTAATCCTAGCTACTTGGGAGACTGAGACAGGAGGATTGCTAGAGCCCAGGAGCTCAAGGCCTGGGCAACACAGGGAGACTCATCTCAAAATCAACCCTTAACAGTTTTTAAAAGTCCACATGCGGCCAAAAATTTGTTTCATAGTGTGGGATGTTGGTGGTCAAGATAAAATTAGACCTCTCTGGAGGCATTACTTCCAGAAAACCCAGGATCTTATTTTTGTGGTAGACAGCAATGATCGTGAAAGAATTCAGGAAGGAGCAAATGTACTGCAGAATATGCTTCAGGAAGATGAGCTATAGGGTGTGGTGTTACTGCTTTTCGCGAACAAACAGGATTTGCCAAATGCTATCGCCATCAGTGAAATGACAGTTAAATTGAGTCTTCAGTCTCTTTGTAACAGTACATGGTATGTTCATGCCACTTGTGTTACACAAGGGTCTGGATGAAGCACTGGACTGGCTGTCAAATGAACTTTCAAAATGTTAAATGAAACTGGATATCTAACCACAGACAAATTTGATAGAATTGGGCTAGACTTGTTACAACAAAATTAGTTTCCGTTTTGGTTATTAAACAGTATCTGGGACTGGTTTGGGGAGAATATTACAGTGTTTAAACTATTTTGTTGCCAATTATTGTTTACCAAGTACAATGTTGCTATTTAGCAATATGCTTAGTTTTAAAGAAATTTTCCTTGGAGAAAAAGTATCCTCTCCCAGTTTTACTTCTTTTAAGCCTAAATGCCTGGACATAGCTAAATGTGTCACCTTTAAATGGTTTTGAATGTTTTTTTGAGCCCACAACAAATAATGTTTTAAAGTTATCCCCTTGCTACTTTACTGATTCCTTTATCATTCCTGGGACAGTCTGCTGATTGAAACATGTAGCATTGCGGGCCAGGGATTTAGCTCAGTGGTTCCACTGCCCGCTTCGCAAGCACAAGGTTCCGAGTTCGATCCCCAGTACCAAAAAAAAAAAAGAAAGAAAGAAAAATGTAGCATTCCATTTGTATTTATTTCTATTCCTTGCCAAAAAGATTTTCTAATACTGCTTATACCAACCAGAGACATGCTCCAAAACACTATTCAGCTCTCTTGCACTGAAGAACCTGTTTCTTTTCTCTTCTTTTTGGTACCAGAGATCGAACTCAGGACCTTGCACTTGCAAGGCAGGCGTGGTGCCACTGAGCTAAAGCCCTGGCCCCGAGGAAACTATTTCTTCCCCTCATTATCAACTTCTAGCTTCCATCAGTCAAATTTACCTTGGTGTGGGGGCCGGGGCGCAGTGCCTGCCTCACATGTGCAAGGTCCTGAGTTCAATCCCCCGTACAAAAAAACCCCAAAAGCTTACCCTGGTGTGGTTTGGATTTGATATCTGATTCTGTGCTTGTTGCAAAGAGTTCATATTGAGGTGGATTTTTACTACTCAGCAGATTGTCTTCCTTTATACTGTTATCTTTTCTATGTTGCATGTTGCTTTGGGTATCAGCCTGACTCTTTGCCCAGTATATAATGGTTCTGCTGATATTTTATTGTTTATTGATGAACATATCTTCCTTGAGTTTTTGGAAAACTCATCAAACTCAATAATTTTTCTTCAGAACCCATTTGGAAATATTCCTCATAAAATGATAAAATACCAGGCTGGGGATTTAGCTCAGTGGTTTCGCTGCCTGCTGTGCCAAGTGCAAGGACCCGAGTTCGATCCCTGGTACCAAAAATAAAAAAACAAAAAAACCCAAAATGATAAAATACCAAAAAAGTCCACATGCATTTATTATACCATCAGAAGTAGCTCTTGGCCAATTCTTTCCTGGAAATATTATTATTATTATTATCATTATTATTATTATTTTGGTTTTCTGAGACAAGGTCTTGCTATGTAGTTCAGGCTGACCTTGAACTCACTATGCAGCTGGGGTGGCCTCAAACTTCTTGTAATCCTCCTGCCTCAGCCTCCCAAGCAATGAGATTACAGGCATGTGCCACCATACTCAGCGAAATGTTGGTAATTAAAGGTAAGGATTTATGGCTGAGGTTGCAGTTCAGTGGTAGAGCTCTTGCCTAGCATGTATGAGGCCTTGAGTTCCCTCCCCAGCATCACAAAAGAAAGAAGGAAGGAAAGAAAAGGAAGGGAGAAAGGGGAGAAAAAATAAGGGCTTAAGCATGATTTTGCTTTTCCCAAACAGCTCAAGGAGAATGCCACATAAGTAATGTGGACACTGTGGAAATCAGTATGGAGATACCTCATAAAACTAGGACTAGAGGTCCCATTTGAGTATCTTCCCAAAAGAAAAGAATCAAGGGATGGGGATTTAGCTCAGTGGTTCTGCTACCTGCCTCGAAAGCGCAAGGTCCTGAGTTTGATCCCCAGTACCAAAAAAAAAAAAAAAAAGAATTAAAAGAATCATACCACAGTGATCTATGCACACCCATGTTTATAGCAGCACAGTGTGTAATAGCTAAAACTTGGAAACGGCCCAATTGCCCATCAACTGGAAACTGGATAAAGAAGATGTGGTTTTTGTATAAAATGGAGTACTACTCAGCTATAAAGAATGAGAAACTAGAGACATTTATAGCTAAATGGATGCACATTGAGGTCATACTCTTTTTTTTTTTTTTTTGGTACCGGGGATCAAACTTGGGTCCTTGCATTTACACCGCAGGCGCCAAAACCACTGAGCTAAATCCCCGGTCCCTGAGGCCATACTCTTAAGTGAAATAAATAGGACAAATGTGTAAATACTGAATAGTTTCTCTGGTGTGAAAAACTAAAAGTGTAAATAAAGATCGAAATGTATAATTGATAATTGAAATAGGAAGAAAAGGTCTAAAGGAGTAGGGGAAGTGGAGGGGTAGGGGAAAGGAAAGAAGGGAAAAGAAAAAAATATGAGAAAAGGAAAAAATGGAAACAAAGTCTGTAAATAGGGAAGGGTGGAGGGGGCAAAGGGAGGACAGGGGAAGGGGGAAAAAATAAGAATCAAGATACTCATGTAATGGTACAAGATCCCAATGATGAATGTAACTGTGCTGTATACCTAAAATGTACCAATAAACTTAATGGAAAAAAAAAGTAGTGTGGAAGGATGCCTGTAATCCTACCACTCAGGAGGCTGAGGCAGGAGGATCACTGTGGGTTTGAGGTCAGCCTGGGCTACAAAGTGAGACCCTGTCTCAAAAAAAAAAATCACTACTTTGCAAAATGCAGAGAAATCATTATATATTTAAACAGTGCTCATCTATGCTGTAACCTAAGGGGTAAATCAACAGGGACAATGGGGAAAGACGGGCTCAAAGCATCAGGCATGAGCTGCCCAAGGGCTCACGTGTCAGGGAGCAGATTTAACAGGGGGTCATAGTCAGCAGCATTCACTGCTGAGCCCCACATCACAGTACAGGGATGGGCAAACCTCACGGAGGAAGCCCTTGGTCCCCCAGGTGTTCTGTGCAGAAGGTTGACTCAGCTCTGACATCCTGGCTCAGGAAATGGGCGGTGGCAACAGATTCAATGACAACATCCAGCATCATCGGACACATTCAGAACGTGGTGGGCCAGGGGTTTAGCTCAGTGGCACGGCGTCTGCCTTGCAAGCCCAAGGGTCTGAGTTCAATCTCTGGTGCTGCAAAAAAAAAAAAGGTAGCATGAAACACCGGACATCTGCCCCAGTCCCTTCAACAAGCCAGTCACTGAGAATACTGTAGGTAGTTTTGTTGTTTTTTTTGAGACAAGTTCTTGCTATGCAGTCTAGGCTGGTCTTGAACTCACTGTGTAGCCTGACTGGCCTCAAACTCACCTGGATCCTCCCGCCTCATCCTCCCAGTGCTGGGATCACAGGCATGTGCCACCCCGGGGTGAAACCATTCTGTGGAGGGGCCTTCTGTATATTGTAGCACCTTCAGCAGCACCTTCAGCCCCCGCTGATGCTGGTAGCAACACCCTGCACTCCAGCTGTGACAGCCAACTTTACCCAGTGTCTTTGGAGGTAAAAATTGCCACCAATTGGGAACCACTGCAAAAGGACAACAAAACAACCACTAGAACCCCAGATCCCCAGGCTATCTAACAGCAAGACAAGGAAACATCACCCTTTTTACATTTCATTCATTCATTCATTTATATTTTGAGACAGGTCTTACTAAGTTACACAGGCTGTATTCCATCCCCAGCCCTGCAAAAGAAACAACAGGGCCAGGGATTTAGCTCAGTGGCACCACACCTGCCTCGAAATCACAAGGTCCTGAGTTTGATCCCCTGTCCCCCGACCACAAAAAAAAAGAAAAACAAAACTTCATTCATAGGGGCTGGGGATTTAGCTCAGTGGTTCTGCCACCTGTCCTGTAAGCACAAGGACCTGAGTTCAATCACCAGTACCAAAAAAAATTCATGCATGGTGTGGTGGCACACGCCTGTAATCCCAGCACTTGGGAGGCTGAGGCAGGAGGATCACCCCAAGTTTGAGGCTAGGCTGGACTACATAATGAGACCCTGTCTCAAAAAACAAAAATAAACAAAAAAAGTCTGGCATTGGTGGCCCACACCTGTAACCCCAGCATTCTGGAAGGGTGAAGCAAGAGGGTCATAAGTTTGAACCCAACCTGGGCAACTAATTTAGGGAGGCCTTGTCATAAAAAAGTAATCAATTGGCCAGGGATTTAGCTCAGTGGCCCCTCACCTAACTGGCAAGCGAAAGGTCTTGAGTTCAATTCCCGATACCAAAACAAAAATCAATCAATAAACAGGGCAGGGGGTATGGCTCAGTTGTACAGTGTCCCTGGGTTCAACCCCTCATACTTTACAAATTATTTAATTAATAATAATAAATTTAAAAAAGCTGTAGTTATTCATGAGGGAGGAGAGGGAACTGAGACTTAGAAGGCACCTGCTGTTGGCATAAACATTATTTTTTGGGGGCTGTTTTTGCAGTGCTGGAGATAGAACCCAGGGCCTCATCTATGTAGGCAAAAGCTCTACCACCAAGCTGTGTCCCAGCCCTTCTCTTTTTAAAATATGTATGTATGTAGGTAGGTATGTATTTATTTATTTATTTATTTATGTTTTGAGCCAGGTTGGCCTTGAACTCACAATGTAGCCCAGGCTGGTCTCAGACTCACAGTGATCGTCCTGACTCAGCCTCCCGAGTGCTGGGATTACAGGAGGGCACTGCCACACCCGATCTCAGCCTCTATCAACCTCTTATAGACACCTGTGATTGGATTTATGCCCCCCCTCGATAATCCAGGATGATCTAATTTTACAGTCCTTAATACATCTGCAAAGACTCTCTGCCCTAACAAGATCACAATTTGCAGGTTCGGGATTTAGGATGCAGGCAGGATTTTGTGCAGGTCACCGTGGAACCCACGACATTTCCTGGCTGCTGAGCAGGGTGCTAAGTACTTCCTGTAATTTCACCAAAGTCCCCTGCAGCCCTGAGAAGCACTTGTGATCTTCCTGATGTGATCAGAGAGGTGCCGGACACTACCCACAGTCACAGGATTCTAACCCTGCCAGGTCAGACCCCAGTGTCTGATTCTAAGTGAGCCACAGAAGAGGCTTCTGGGAGCTAGGTGTGGTGGAGTATGTCTGTGAATCTGTGAATCCCGGCACTCTGGGAAGCTGAGGCAGGGGGATCACTTGTGGCCAGAACTGCTGTGGTGCAGATGACCAAACCAGTCCCACTGCCTCCTCCTCTCTGATGGGGCAGGGTGGGTGTGGCCTGCAGAAGCTGTCCTGGGGGGATTGGCACTGCTAGCTAGCAGGGGGTGCTGCTGGGTTTTGTTGCTTTCTTATTTTCTCTTTTTCCTTTCCTAACAGCACCAGAAGCTAGGGCAGTTGTTGCACAGGTGTTATTTAAAGTTTATTGTAAAACTGGAGTACTACTCAGCCATAAAGAACGAGAAACTAGAGTCATTTATAGCTAAATGGATGCATATTGAGACCATACTCTTAAGTGAAATAAATAGGACACACGTGTGTAAATACTGAATAGTTTCTGTAGTGTGAGAAACTGAGAGTGTAAATAAGGATTAAAATGATTAAAACGAATAATTGATACTTTGAAATAGGAAAAGGTCCAAAGGGGTAGGGGTGGTGGGAGGAGATGGGGAAAGGAAAGAATGGAAAGGAAAAATTATGAGAAAAGAAAAATAATGGAAACAAAGTCTATGTAAATAGGGAAGGGTGGAGGGGTGAAGGGTGCACAGGTAATGGGGAAAAAATAAGAACCAAGATACATCATGTACAGGTACAAACACCCAATGATAAATGTAAATGTATTGTATACCTAAAATGTACCAATAAAAGAATTTAAGCAAAAAAAAAAGTTTATTGTAGACATGGGCTGGGGATTTAGCTCAGTGGTTCTGCCGCCTGCCTCAAAAGTGCAAGGTCCGGAGTTCGACTCCCGGTGCTCCCCCTACATTGACTACCTTGTGGAGCATGTGGAGACAAAGCTGGCTAGTGGGGAAATGGAGCACTTCCCTGGAACAAAGCCCTCCATGATGTCGTGATGTCCTGTGCTAAGTAACAATATTAAAGAAAAAAAAAACCCAATTTTTTTTAATAGGGCTGAGGATGTAGCTCAGTGTAAAGGTCCTGGGTTCACACCCCAGTACTACAAAAACAAAAAACAAAAAACACTAGGCATGGTGGCACACACCTATAATCCCAGCACAAGGGGAGGCTGAGGCAGGACCATTGCCAAAAACTCGAGGCCACCCTGAGCTACCCAGTGAGTTCAAGGCCAGCCTGAACTACCATAGATAGTCCCTGTCTCAAGAAACAGCAACCAAAGGACTTCTGGGGCTGGGGGTGTGCTAGGTTAGGGTATTTGATGTTTTATTTTGTTTTGTTTTTTGAGACAGGGTCTTGCAATGTCATTCAGGCTGGCCTTGAACTCACTAGGTAGCCCAGGCTGGCCTCAAACTTGTGGTGATCCTCCTGCCTCAGCTTCCGGAGCGCTGGGATGACAGGGATGCGCCAACATGAGCCACCATGCCCGGTGAGGTTAGGTTACTTGGAAAGAGTCTTTGTCTAATATGAGTGAGGCCCTGGGTTTCATCCTCAGCACTAAAAAAAAGGCAGAAAGACTCTAGGTTCTGAGCCACAGACAAGACAGGCAGCAAATATCTGCATTTCTTCTTCCGTCCCCAGGCCCAGCATCAGAGACGCAGAGAAAAGGGCAGAAGGTTGCACCCAGAGGAGTCACCAGAGAGAGGTGGGGGACAATGATTCATCAGCCCTTTAGAAATGACACAGTCAGCCGGGCCTGGCCTTCCAGAGCTGCGGCCAGGAGTGCACACAAGAGGAAAGGACAGAGGGGCAGCAGAGTTCTCCCCCAAGGGAGGATGACCTGGAGAGGCAGCACTGGCTGCTGCCCTACCAGGCCCGAGGCACACAGCCAGTCTTCCCTGTTGTGCTGACAAGGAAACCAAGGCACAGAGAGGTTGAACACCTTCCGGGGCTTGCACAGCAAACCTCCGGCCTCCCAGCATCAGAGCACCTCCTGTTGTTGGGTTTTGAATCGAGGTGAAATTTACCTCACATCCAATGAACTTGTTTTGTGGTGTGGTGGTGGTGATCAATCCATGCAGGGCACATACCCTGCAGCTCAGCTGCACCTCCAGCCTCAAAGCCACTGGGGTGGAGTGCATGTGTTTACGACACCTTGCAAGGCATACCTCAACTGGCTCTCAAACTCTGTCATCATCGACACCAGGCCCAGGTGCAGCCCCACTCTGGTCCCTCTTCCCAGCCCTAGAAACCACAAGTTGTCTTCCTGTCTCTGTGGATCTGCCTGTTCCGGATGCTTTGAATAGACGGGATCACACAGCATGTGGCCTGTGGGGTCTGACTTCTCTCATTCAGCATCATGGGGCTTTTTTCGTCTTGTTTGTTGGGATTCTGAGGCAGGAAAATCACGAGTTCAAGGCCAAGCTGTGCTACATAGTGAGGGCCTGTATCAAAATAAAATAAAAAATAAACAAATAGGGTCGGGTAGGTAGCCCAGTGCTCCTTGAGTTCAATCCCCAGTTTCACAGGGGAAAAAAGCGTAAAAGAGCAAAAGTGCTAGCTTTGGGTGTGGTGGTGCACACCCATCATCCCAGCACTCAGGAGGCTGAGGCAGGAGGATCGCTGCAAGTTTGAGGCCAGCCTGGGCTACATAGTGAGATCCTGCTCCAAAAAACAAAACAAGGTGGTAAAAATTATGTTTTGTGTATTTTCTTTTTTTTTCTTGGTACCGGGGATTCAACTCAGGACCTTTCGCTTTCAAGGCAGGGGACAGAATCACTGAGCTAAATCCCTGTCTTGTTTTGTGTATTTTCCACTAGACATTTGGACATCAGCTGGACCCAGTGATCTGCCCTCCAGACCATTCTGAGGCTCAAATTTGAGAACATTGGCACAGGTTGTGGGAAGGATTAGAAACACAACATAGATATGAAATACCACAGCACTGTCGGCCCCACGGTCTGTCTGGGAAGCGTTTCCTATTGTTTATTTTTGTGCTGCTGGGGATGGGGCCCAGGGATTCTCATTAGCTAGCCAAGCACTCTTACCACTGAGCTACACCCCAGCCCTTTGAAAATTGTATTTTGTGACACTGAGTTATCCAGGCTGGCTGGCCTCAAAGTTGACATCCTCCTGCCTCAGCTTCCCCAGTAGCAGGGATGACAAGCGTTGGCCACCCTACAATTGACTGATTGATAGTGGGGCTGGGCATGGAACCCAGGGCCTCCCTCAGGCCAGGCTCGCGGTTGCCACTGAGGGGCGCCCCAGCTCCTGTTAGGTTATTTTGTAAGGTAGCGGGCGTCCCAGGCCTGCAGGACCTGGCTGGTCACTGCGCCTGTTGACTGGGTTCCTGTTTTCTGCAGAGGCGCATGGAAAGCTTTGTGCATCCTTCCGTCAAGATGACAGGGCCACGCGGCGTCACCCTGGCCCTAGCAAAGGTTATCGCTGGCTGGAGACGGAAAGGTCGGGCTGGCGCCAGGAGATAGCGACGTCGCCCTGCTCCCTCGGGCGCATAAATGGGCCGCTCCGGGGAGGCGCGGCGGCCCTTCGTCCCGCGTCCTCGTGAGCAATGGCTCGGCGCGCGCTGCTGCTGCTGCTCCTGCTGCTGGCGGTGTGGACGCGGCCCGGCCAACGGGTTCCCAGGGCTGAGGCCCGGGCCGCGCCCTATGGGGTGAAACTGTGCGGCCGTGAGTTCATTCGCGCAGTCATCTTCACCTGCGGGGGCTCGCGGTGGAGACGCGCGGACGCCCTGGAGCACGCGGCCGCCGGTGAGCCTGGGCAGGAGGAGTGGGGACAGAGGGGACCATCCACCCACCCATCCATCCAACTTCCCATCCTTCCATCTGCCTGTGCCTCCATCTATCCATCCATTTCTCAGTCCCTGGGCCCAACCTGTGACAGGTGAGGCCGCTGTGTGCAGATAGGAAGCTGAGGTGGCTTCCAAGTCGCTGGGCTGGGAGGGTGTGGACTCTAGGGGCGACCCCAGCTCAGCACCTCACTTCCCTGTGCTGGGCCGCTCTACTGTGGAATGGGTGTCACTGTGACTTTGCAGGGTTAGTAAAAGGTTAGGTTGGGACAGGTAGGGCACATTGTAAGCAGGGGAGAGGATCAGGGTGGGCTCCAGCAGGAGGGGCAAGCAGGAGAGCTTGAGGGGCATGGGCCTGGCAAAGGGACAGATGTTCATTGGGATGAGGATGAGGATGCTGGTGGATGGATGGAAGGAGGGATGGAGAGATGGACATGAGCATAGAGCCAGAATATGCATTGCCTGAGTTAAAATAGTGGCCCTATAGCCATGTGTGGTGGTGCATACCTGTAATCCCAGTACTCAGGAGGCCGAGGCAGGAGGATTGCCAAGAGTTTGAGGCCAGCCTGAATTACAGAGCAAGATCTTGTTTCAAAAAAAGTAGCCCTTCGCCTTAATAGCTGTGTATTCTTACAAATTCCTGAGTCATTCCTCAGTGATCTCTGGAAGTTGGGGTGAAAGTAACAGCATCCATCTGATGCAGTTGTCACTGAGAGGAATAAAGGAGTTTGCCTCCCAAAACAGTTAAAACAGTGCCTGGCACTTGATAACACCTCAATAAGTGATCAATGATTGATCAATAAATTTTATGCTTTTTTGTTGCTTGTCATGTCCCTGAGCTTGTTATGGGTTTTAGAATTGGTATTCAGTCCTCTAGTCCTTATAAAATTCAGGGAAACAGGAGTTATTGTTGTGCCCACTTTGAAGGAAACTGAGGCTCAAATCCTCTTACTCACAATTATAGAGAGGCTAGTGTCCAAATACATGCTTTCAATAAATAAAGAGTTGGGGAAATAAGTAACTGGAAAGTCAAGCTTAGTAAGGTTGAATAACCTGCCCATCAAAACTGATGGCAGAAGGGCCGGGGATTTAGCTCAGTGGTTCTGCCGCCTACCTCGCAAGTGCAAGGTCCCAAGTTCGTTCCCTGGTACGAAAAAAACAAAAAACAGATGGCAGAGCCAGTATTTGAACTCAGGACTGGCTGGAATCATGACCTTGAATTACAAATTTGGCTGGGTGGTCAGGGGCCACTCTGTTGGGGTGGCAGCAGCCCAGCCTGAGCCCTGATCCTCCTCCTCTGCTGCAGATGCCTTCGAGGATGAAGATGGCAATGCAGACAGCCTGGCCAGAGAGCTGGATGATGCTGTGGGCTCCAGCGAGTGGCTGGCCCTGGCCAAGTCCCCCCAGGCCTTCTATGGTGGCCGACCCAGCTGGCAGGGTGCCCCTGGGACTCTTCGTGATAGCCGGGACATCCTGGCTGGGCTCTCCAGCACCTGCTGCAAGTGGGGGTGCAGCAAGAACGAGATCAGCAGCCTCTGCTAGGCCAAGGCTGGCCAGCCAGAGATACAGGCAGTCATGTCTCAGCCCTGCCATCCTCAGCCTTTGTCCCCCAGGCCTGTCTTTCCAATCTTCATGCATCTGCAGGACCCAGAAGCATGGGCCATGGCTTGGGTCACCATACATCCAGCATCCAGCCCTGACCTCAGACTCCCCCTCCCCGCACTGTGCCTCGAGACAGCTGCACCCCTACTGAGCCCTCGGAGACCCTGCCCTCTCCACCTGGCCCTCATGGACCCCTGCTACTCCCTGGTCCCCAATGTACCCAAAGTGGCCACTCTGAGCCCCTGGCTCTGGCCCCAGTGCAAACCAGCTGCCCCCTCTTCTCTGGCGCCAGCCCCTCTCCTGTCCTGCTGCTGCTGGTGGGGTCCCGGATTCCCAGGACGTCACAAATGGGGAGGAGGGCGCTGTGGGCGCAGGAACCTTCCCGGCCCGGATAATAAAAGTTACAGACTCGACCAGCGTGTGTGTTACTGCTGGGGCGGGACAGGTTTCGGGGAGCTCGGCGTCGCCCCGCCGCCGCCGCACCCGGGGACTTTCCGCTGGGGACGGGCGGGGGCGCGCGGGGCAGCAGCTTCCTGTCCCCGCCCTGGGCTGCGAGGTCTGGGGTCCCCAGGAGCCATGAGGGGCCCGCGGGCTGCCTCCCTCCGGCCGCTGTCGCTGCTGTCGCTGGTAGTGGCGCTACTCCCTGGGACTCGCGCCCAGGGTGAGTGGGGCGCGGGCTGGGGCCAGAGTCCGGGGTCTCCGCCGGCCCGGGGGTGCGGGGGTGCCGGGGGGGGCGCCTAGGGTGTCGTAGGGGTGTGGTGGGGGTGGGAGCCCTTGGGTGCCAACAGGATGTGGCTGGCAGCGGGGAGGGGGAGAAGGTCCGCGCAGAACTGGGTGAGGGTGCCCAGCGCCCCCTTCCCTTGCGCGCGGCCAGGCATCGCGGGCTGCAGTGGTGAGAAGTCTGTCCCAAGTCCTGCGAAGCGGGGCTGGGGAGTTGCTGGGGGCAGAGCCCTCAGGGTGTGACCCCAGCATCTACAAAAGAAAAAAGGAAAAAGACGCTCTGAGAACTCGGATGGGGGATGTGGGGAAGGTGGGAGCTTGACCGCCGGCGCCCCCTCCAGGCAGCGCGGGGCTGCTGCAGTGCTTTAGAGTCGGATCCCAGCGGAACCTGAACTGCTCCTGGGAACCGCTCCCGGACTCCAGAAACCCCATCGTCCTGCACTTCCAAAGCCGGAAGTAGTGAGTACACTAGTGCCACTTGGGGAAACTGAGGCAGTGGAGGGAGCCACTCTGCGAATCAGGAAGGGGCTCTGCTCCCCCAGTTCTCAAGCCTCTCAGGGCTGTGTGGCCCTGGGTTTGTCACTCTCCCTCTCTGAGCCTGCTTTTCTCCCCTGCTAAACGGCGGAGCCGCTTCCCCGGGCTGGCTCTGCCCCTGCAGGGCGCAGGCATGTGTCGGGTGAGCGAGCCGGCTAAGAGGAGCTGGCTTCCGCCTGGCTGTGTGGCCTCTTCGAGCTTGCTTACCCTCTCGAAGCACATGGAAGGATGACGCTGCCACTTGGGATTCCCGCACTGGGAGAGGCGACAGAGCCTGGCACTTGTGGGACTGGAGCCCAGGGGATAGTGCGGTGGTCCTAACGATGAACCTCACGGAACTTCAACTGGGCGGAGGGAGGGACAGCACAGAGGCAGTGGAAGACACAGAGGGCCCTGGGGCGCTGTTTCCCCCCGCCCCTTCCTTTCTGGTACTGGAGATTGAACCCGGCCGGGCACATGCTAGGCAAGAACCCTGCCCCTCAACTACATCCCAGCCCTTCAATTTTATTTTATTTATTTTGGAGACAGGGTCTCACTATGTAGCCCAAGCTGGCCTTGAACTGGCAGTGATCCTTCTGCCTCAGCTTCCCAAGTGCTGGGATTACAGACATATGCCATGGTGCCTGGCTTATTTTTCTCTTCTTAAATGGTGTTAATATATGTATATATATATAACAGGGCCGGGGATTTAGCTCAGTGGTTCTGCCGCCTGCCTTGCAAATGCAAGGTCCTGAGTTCGATCCCCAGTACCAAAATAAAAAATAAAAAATAATATATATCTATATATAACAAAAATTGTCATTTTCAGCCTATCTTTTTTTTTTTTTTCCGGTACCGAGGATCAAACTCAGGACCTTGCACTTGTGAGGCAGGTGGTGGCACCACTGAGCTAAACCCCCAGCCCATCTTTCCTTTTTTTAGGTAGGGTCTCACTATGTGGCCCAGGCTGGCCTCTAACTCACTATCCTCCTGCCTCAGCCTCCTCAGTACTGGAATTATAGGTGTGCACCACCACACCTGGCTGTTTTGGTTTTGAGATGGGATCTTGCTGTGTTACCCAGGCTGGCCTCAAACCCCTGGGCTCAAGTGATCTTCCTGCCTCAGCCTCCTGAGTAGCTGTGACTAGAGGCACATGCCACTGCACCTCCTGTTTTCAGCTCTTTTGGGTGCTCCCCCAGGAATGCCATTGCTGGTTACATGGGAGCTTTATGTTTAAACGTCACAACCCCTGCACCCTTCCACATTCCCACCAGCAATGCAGGAGAGTCCCAATTTCTCCACTTCCTCACAAATGCTTGGTTTTTCTCTTGGAGGTTTCTTGTTTGTTTGTTTCCTTGACTAAAGCCTTGTTCTGAGCCTTTACTTTTTATTTGGCAGTGCTAGGGATCGAACCTAGGGCCTTCACAGTGAGTTCCATTCCCAGACCTTTTTCATTTCTTATTTTGAGACAGGCTCCTGCTAAGTTACTAAGTTGCCCTGGCTGGGCTTGATCTTGTAATCTTCCTGCTTCAGCCTCCTGTCCCTACCTTGGTTGTTCTGTTCATCACGTGTACCACCTGATGTAGCATCAGTTATATCTGTCTGTGCCTCTCATCTCCCCTGCCCGTGTGAGAAGTGACACTAGCTTCAGACAGGCCTTCGGCTGTTTTTGTCATACTTCTGTCCTAAGCTTCTAGAACAGGGCCTGGTACAACACACACTGGCAACTGAGCAGTTTCGTGGATCTGAGCATGCATTTTGTAAAGAGAGAGCAGGAAACATATTGAGCAACGCTCATGTAACATGCACAGATGAGCTGGGTTTGGTGACCCTCGCCTGTCATCCCACTCCCTGGGAGGCTGAGGCAGGAGGATCATGAGTTCAAGGCTAGCCTCAGAAACTTAGTGAGACCTTGTCTCAAAATGAAAAATAAAAAGGGCTGGGGATGGAGCTCAGTGGTAGAACAGTTCTGGGTTCTATCCCTAGGACTCCAAAAACCAAGTCACTTTTATGATAAAGTGTTGACTATCTCATGTAACTTACTGAATATTGTACTGTAAGTGAAAAACACAATGGTTGTTCTATATTGCTGGCCGAGAAAAAGATAAAAATTTAAAAAATTTTTTTCCAGTATTAAGGATAGCACCCAGGGCTCACACATGATAGGCAAGCCCTGTACCACTGAGCCACACACCCCAGTTCCCAAAATTCAAAAAATATTTACTTACTGGTTTTCCAATACTAGGGATTGAACCTAGGGCCTTCGAACTGAGCTACATCCCCAGCCTTTTAAATTTCTGTTATCTTGAGACAGGTCTTGCTAAGTTGTCCAGGCTGGGCTCACACTTGTGATCCTCCTGCCTCAGCCTCCCAGAGTGCTGGGATGAAAGGTGTGGACTACCATGCCTGGTTCCAGAATTCAAAATCTGATCTCTGATCTCTGTCACATGCCTATTTCTTGTCACTATTCTAAAGCAGTAGTGCACAGTGGAGCCACCATACCTGGGGACTGGCTCACTGTGTCCCCAGCACCCTGCGAGTGCATTCCATGTCTGCTGACCCACTCTGAGCTGTCACTTGCATCAGGCACTGTCATGGTGGGTGAGGGGCTGAGGCACAGAGGGGCTAAGAGAAGTCGCCTCCTCCAGTCACAGCTCTGAAGCAGCAGATCCGGGTTTTGCATCCAGCAGAGTAGGTTGTAGCCCTAGGTCAGTTCTCGGGTGTCACCTTGGCTCTCATCCTCAAATGTCCCACAGCCACTCCAACAGAACCCAGACAGTGGCAGTGCCCGCGGGGCAGAGTTGGGGGACCATTGCTCGGAAGAAGTTCACCGAGGCGGACCATCTGCTGGTCTGGGGGACTCAAGGGGGCAGGCCTCTCTGGACACCGGTCCTCGTGGACCTGGAAACCCGAGGTAGGTGGCAGAGGCGAGTGGTCCGTGAGAGGTCACAGGGCCCCCCTCCCTCACTGCATGCTTCCCCCCACCCCAGTGAAGCCCGACACCCCCCATCTGTTACCCGGTGGCGTGGACTTCTCAGAGGATGCACCGCTGGAGGCTACCGTGCAGTGGCAGCCACCTGAATGGCCATCCAAGCCCCTGATCTGTCAGTTCTACTATCAGAGGTGCCTGGAGCAAGGCTGGTCCCTGGTAAGTATCTGTCCCCGACCTGTTCTGGCAGAGCCTGCAGGCCAGGTGCCCACCCAGCAGGCCCCAGCTAATAGCTTTCTATCCCAGCACTCAGGGGGGCTGAGGCAGGAGGATCGCACTGGGCAACTTAATGACTTAGCAAGACCTTATCCTTCCTCACTAAATAATCTATAGTCCTTCCTATCCACGAGTCCACAGCCTCAGATTCAACCATTTCAGTACTGAAAATCTTGGCAAATGGGAGGATCAGATATGCGCTGTACACATATTGGTGATATTTTTCTCAGCGGGATTCCCTCTGCAACACAGTGAGACAACTGCACATGCCATTTGCGCAGCATCCAGTGTTCTCCATGTGCAGAGGCGCTAAGGCTGCAGAGGACGAGAGCAGGTTTTGGCAACCCTGTGCCACCGATGGAGAGGACTGGGTACTCAAGGCTTTGGGGTCATGGAACCCTCCCTCCACGGATGCTGAGGGCTCACAGTTTAGGTGTTGTGCAGTTGTGACCCAAAGGCCACTTGGCATTTTTGAGAAATTCAGTAAACCTCCTCTAACATTTTTTTTTTTCAAGAATAGAAGTTTTGGATGGCTTAAATTAACCTTAAAATAATAATAACTAACAAGAGCAAACATTTAAGAGAACATCTCCTGGATGCCTGATGCTGCTGAAAAAGAAAATAAAATACAACAAAAGCAGCTGCGCACAGTGACCATAGTCCCAGCTACTCAGGAGGCTGAGGCAGGAGGATCACTTAAACTTCAGTGTTCAAGACCAGACTATGTAATGTAGTCTCAGAAGAAAAACCAGGTATCCATTTTATAGTTGGGGAAGCTGAATCTCAGAGAAGTTAAGCAACTTTCCCAAGGTCACACAACAGGAAAGTGGAAGCCAAGTCCAGAACAAGAGGATCCCAGAAGGATTGGGGAACCCATGCATGCACTTTAACACACAACCAGGAAGTTGAGTATCTTATTTTCTGTGATATGTCCTTGGCTGAGAACATAGTCACATGGCCTCATTTGACTGCAAAGGAGGCTGGGAAATGTAGTCTTTATTCTTGCCAGCCATGTTCCCAGCTAGTTACACCAGGGTTCTCTTTGTGAAGAAAGACGGGGATATTGGGGATTGTCAACTGCTACAGCCACAGATTTTTGACACAAAACACCACAACAAAAAGCAGAGTTGTGGAGAGCACTTACCTAGCATGCACCAGGCTCTCTCTGGCTTACATGTTCAGCGCCAAAAAAAATGCAAAATTGATGTCATTGTGATTGTTGGTGCCATTCAGAGCAGCTCTGCAATACAGATGTGAGAATCTGGCTGCTTGGATACAAAATTCAGCTGCAGCTCCCTGCTCTGTGACCTTGAGTAAGAACTCACTACCCACTGCTACACTTAACCACCACTCTGCCTGCGATTGTACCATATGGGGGCTTGGGGGGGGGTTGAGGGGGATGGAGCAACTTAGTAAACACGTTAGGCAAGCACTCTACCACTGAGTTGCACCGTAGCTCTTTTTGTTGTGCCACGCCAGCCAGGAAATCACCAAACACCAGGACCAAGACAGAGTTATAACTAAAAGGAGTTTATTCACGCACATGGACTCCACTCTCAAGGAGAAGTGAAGCCCCGAAGCAGGGGACAGCACAGCTTTTATAGGTAACTCAAACAAAGAAGTTCAGGGAGAGGCCACCATGTCCTTCAGCCAGCTGTGAAATATCTTTCACAACCCAGTTCTTTTTCATCCCACCTAGCTTGCCAAGATGGGGCCTTCTGTGGCTACAGGGCTCGGTGGTTACAGGGAGGCACTGGGCACCATCTGTTCCCGGGGAGTGATAAAGCATGTTTACAGAAGCAGAGCAAGCGGCTCTCTTGTGGGGAATTCCAGCACTCTGTAAGGGGAGGGGTATGAGGGGAGTTTAATCACAGGCCAAGGTGACATTTCTTAGGTTCACTTTGGTCTCACACTTTTCATTTTTTATATTTCGAGACAGTGTGTTTGCTAAATTATCCAGGCTGGGCTGGAACTTGGGATCCACCTGCCTCAGCCTCCCGAGTAGATGGGATCACGGGCGTGCACCACCGTGCCTGGCCGGACTTTGCCACTAAAAGCCTCAATATTCTGTATCCTTTTAGTCCTGGGCCCACCAGGACGGCTGGTCACCAGCTCAAGCACCCTGGGCTCCGCCCTGGGGCCTGGCTCTCTGTTCCCTCTGGCAGCTAGAGCCGGAAGTGAAGACTGTGCCTCTGAGCCCGGTGGAGATGCAGGAGCTGGAGCTCACCTCGGCCTACAAAGTGCGTGGACGCTGCAGAGTGGAGACCAAAGGAGACCTGTGGAGCGAGTGGAGCCAGGCCCTGCACTTCCAGACCCCGCCCGCTGGTGAGGCTCCGGCTTACCCCGCCTCTGCTTCTCCAGACCACCGGTCTGCTCATCAGCTCCCATCCCATCCTTCCAGCCCCTAAGGACGTATGGATCGCTGGGAACCCGTGCATGACCCCAGGCAGCCCGGCAGCCCTGCTGGTGTGGAAGGTGAGCTCCGTGCCCAGGTGCCTTTTTCCAGGGCGCCCCCAACAGCAATGATGCGGACGGGACGTAGTCTCTGCTGCCCCCTGCAGGCCGATACGGGGATTGCGAGCAGGCGCTCGAGAGGTCCTGGCTGTGGGCCTGAGACCGGGATAAGGGACACCAGGCTCAGGGTCTGGAAGACTGGAGCTCAAAGGCCTGCATCACACGAGTGGTGGGAGGTGGCTGAAAAGGGCCAGGCGCGCGGGCTAAATCCCAGCTATTTGGGAGACTGAGGCAGGAGGATCGCAAGTTTGAGCACCGCCTGGGCAATTTAGTGACTTAGGGAGACCCTGTCTCAAAATTAAAAAGGCTGGGGTTGTGGCTCAGTGGTGGAGCACTTGCCTAGCATGGGTGAGGTCCTGGGTTCCATCCTCAGCATGGGAACAAAAAGCAAAAAAGGCCGACAGTCCTCATTAATTCATATTTATTGAGGACCTATTATGTGTCACGTATCATTAAGTCCTGGATCTCGCTGGGCATGGTGGCATAGGCTTGTAATCCCTGCACTCTGAGCGGCTGAAACAGGAGGATCTCCATGAGTTGGAGGCCAGCCTGGGCTGCATAGTGAGTTAAAGGGCAGCCTGATCTACCTAGTGAGACCCTACCTCAAAAAACAAACAAAAATTTTTTTTCAATTTTGAGACAGGGTGTCATTAAGTTGCTAAATTGCACAAGCTGGACTTGAACGTGCAATCCTCCAGCCTCAGCCTCCTGGAGTGCTGGGACTGCAAGTGTGAGCTATCACAGCCAGCTGATGAATAATATTTTAATTTAATATTTTAAAAAATCGAATCAGCAGGCCGGGCATGGTGGCACATGCCTGTAATCCCAGCACTCAGGAGGCTGAGGCAGGAGGATCACTGTGAGTTCGAGGCCAGCATGGGCTGCATAGTGAGTTCAAGACCAGCGTGAACTACATAACTAGACCATGTCTCAAAGAAAGAAAAAAGTCAAATCAGCAATCTGGTCTCCCAGGACCAGCGGTCTATATTTGTAAATAGAGTTTGACTGGTGCTAACCATGACCAGAATTGGGATGAGGATAGCAAGGCAGGGCCACACAAGTGGAGGACTGGATCCTGGCTTTACCTGAAACCCTGCCATTTTGTTTGTCTTATGTTTTTTGTATTCATTTTGATTTATTAAAATATTGCACATGCCTGATGTGGTGGCTCACACCTGTAATCCCAGCACTCAGGAAGCTGAGGCAGGAGGATTGCCATGAGTTCGAGACCAGCCTGGGCTACATAGTGAGACCCTGTCTCAAAAGAACCCCCCCCCCAAAAAAAGTATTCAAGTATTATTTAATCTTGGTTACTGGGTATTTTTTTCTGGGTATTTTGTTTTTCTTAGATAGGGTCTTGCTACATTGACCAGGCTGGTCTTGAACTCCTGGGTTCAAGCAATCCTCCTCCCTCAGCCTTACAAGTAGATGGAACCACAGGGTTACTAGGTTTTTGGTATTTGTCACCCTTAAATTTTCTACCCAAAGTGAGTGTCTCCCTAATCTTACTATTTCTTGCCAAGAAACCTTATTCAAATTTCATCTGTCCAGTGAGCTCCTCAAAAATTCAGTTTCTACATCTGTAAAATGGACCCGACCATACTGCTTCTCTAATTGTCTTATCAGGTGACCTCACTGAGGCATATAGTAGGTTCCCCTCATACTGGGGATGGACTCCAGGACCTTCACACTGAGCTCCATCTCCAGCCCATTTTTCTTTTTTATTTTGAGACAGAGTCTTGCTAAGTTGATAAGTTGCCCAGGCTAAGCTCATATTTGGAATCCTCCTGCCTCAGCCGCTTGGAGTTCTAGGGTGACATGCATGCAACACCACAGCCAGCCCACCATAGTCCCTGGTTAAATTGGAGACATGAACTCTCTTGGCTTCTCCCCAGGCTCCGGGGCCCTGCGTGCAAGTGAGCTACCAAGTGTGGTTCTGGGCTGGAGAGAAGATGCAGATGCAGGAGGAGGTGCCCTGCTGTTCGTGGCCCATCCCTGCCTGGGCACGGTGGGCCAGGGTGTCTGCCAAGGATGGTGTCCCCTGGGTGCCCTCCACCAACCTCTCCTTGTTCTGCTTGGGTAAGAGACAGGAACCCCCTCTGCTCGGGACTGGGAGTGGGCAGGGCCTCCTGAGTGGGCAACCAGGACTCCCCTAGCTGCAGACTCTGCGCCCCAGAATGTGGTGGTCAGCAGCATTGCTGGGACCCCCGGACTGCTGGTGAGCTGGCAACAGGGGACCCAGGAGCCATGGGAGTATGTGGTGGCCTGGGCCCTGGACGGAAAAGCCCTGGAGGATGTCAGCTGGACCCGGATTTCTCTGGGGAACCACAGTGCTGTGCTGCTAGGTAAGGCCAAAACACCAGGTTCCCACTTCTATGAGTCTATCTTCTGTTGTTATGACAAAGTCCCCAAGGGTGGCACTTATGAACAAGAGAGGTTGACTTGGCTCACAGTCTGGAGCTCTAGTGTTGTGCAGCATCTGTGGGTTCTGGGAGGGCCCGTGACCACCACTAGGGGTGGCTGTGGACCAAGCAGGCTGAGCTGGAAGATCAATTCCCTGCGCCACAGAGGATTCTGGGTGCCTCTCTGCTGCCCCTGGTGGGCTCCAGCAGTACTGAGCCTCAGTTATCTATAGTGGAAACCAACTCCTTTCTTCCTTCCTTTCTTCCTTCCTTCCTTCCTTCCTTCATTTCTTCCCTCCTTTCATCTTCTCCCTCCTCCTCCCTTTCTTTTTCTTTTCGTGGTAACCCAGGGCCTTTGCACCGAGCTACATCCCCAGCCCCATTTTTTAAATTTTGAGATAAGATCTCACTAAGTCTCTAAAATGCTGAGGCTGGGCTGGAATTTGGGCTCCTCCTGCCTCAGCCTCCCAGAGTGCTAAAGTTAGAGGTGTGCCCAGGCTGGTCTTGAAATCCTGGGCTCAAGCAATCCTCTACCACAAGCCTGGCTGGGCACTTGTGGGGTTTGTTTGTTTGTTTTGTGGTACCAGGGATTGAACTCAGGACCTGACCCTTGTAAGGCAAACATGTTGCCACTGAGCTAAATCCCCAGCCCATGGGCACTTGTTTCTTAACACCTTTTCCTAGATGCCTTTCTTTCTTTCTTTCTTTCTTTTTTTTTTTTTTTGGTGTTTTGAGACAGGGTCTCGCTATGTAGTTCAGGCTGGCTTTGAACTCACTATGGATCTCAGGCAGCCTTGAACTGGAAGCACAGCCTCCTGAGTGCTGGGATTAGAGGTGTGTGCCACCACGCCCAGCCAGGCTGCCTTTCTTATATCATCTCACTTTTGCCCTGCTGGTGTCTCCTGGTGTCGCTTCCCAGATCAATCCCTGACACCCAGGCCTTATCCCACAGTGTCTGGGGGACCCTGGGGAAGATGGTGCCCGTTGGGTAGTGAGTGGGGGTGGGAGAGGCAACCCTAAATGGTCTTCTATCTCTACCACCCAGGCAATTTTACAAGAGGGGTCCCCTATCACATCTCGGTGACAGCAGTCTTTCCTGAGGGCCTGGCCCCTGCTCCCTCTGTCTGGGGGTTTGGAGAGGAGCTAGGTAAGAACAGGGCTGGAGGGTGTGGAAGATTCCTGGAAGCCAGCAGAATGTGACCAAGTAGTTTCCCCACAGCACCTGTAGCGGGTCCAGCAGTTTGGCGGCTCCCGGATGACCCCTTGGGGACCCCCGCAGTGGCCTGGGGAGAGCTCTCAAAGCATCAGCTCCGGGGCCACCTCTCCCACTACACCTGGTGTGCACGGAGTGGCTCCAGAGCCTCAGTCTGTGTGAACGGTGAGCCTCCCCCCTCCCGTGCCTCCCTCGGCCCCCAAGACCAGGCCAACCCCACCCCTGAACCCCGGGCCCTCTGGCTGTCTCTTTGCCCTGGCTACCCTCCATCCCTGGAGGACAGTGACTCTCTGGTTATTGACATAATGGCCTCACTGGGGCATTAAAACTGAAAGCTCCGATCTATGTGTATTGATGTTGAAAGACACCTGTCACATTTCATTACATTAACAAGATGGAAAGCGTTCTGGAACTCTGGAGATGGCTTCCTTTTTGGTATAAAATAAGCTCAAGATTGGCAAAGCCAAGCCACAAATATGGAAATAAATCCTTTCAATGCCAATAAAGATTGTAGGATTATAGCGTGATTTTCATTTTTTATTTGTATTTGGTTTGTGATACAAAGGATTGAACCCAGGGCTCAGCCCTTTTTTTTTTTAATTTTTATTTTTTGCAGTGAGACAAGTTCTCACTAAGTAAGTTCCCAGGCTGGGCTCACACTTGTGATTCTCCTGCCTCAGCTTTCCAGAGTGGTGGGATCGCAGGTATGCACCGCCGTGCTCATGTATTTTTTTTTTTTTTTTTTTTTTGGTACCGGGGATCAAACTCGGGTCCTTGTGCTTGCATAGCAGGTGGTGAAACCACTGAGCTAAATCCCCGGCCCT